GGGCCAAACAAAAAGGTGCACACGCAGGCCGCGCATGCGTAATTGCGAAAATCAACATTGCAAGAAGGAGAGATATATCGGACGTGGATCTCTCTGTTCAACTTATGGGCAGTCCCCTTCCATGTATGTAAGTTCTATGATGATATCCAATTTTGATTGGTCTTCAAAATTGGATCTATTCCCGCTCATATTTGAATTACACTAATCTTACCATTAACATAAGCGTTAATGTTTCAGCACTACAAATAAAAATAAATGTTGTAGAAGAAATTAATATTGTAATCATTTTTATGTACAACATTAAAATAATATATATAATAAGAAATTCCTTACATTTAATGTTTATTTAATGATATATAAGGATTAATAAAATAAAATCAATTTAAAGAAAAGTAAACATATAAAATATAAATTTAAATATTTTTTATATAAATGTTTATATTAATTACAATACTTTTTGTATTAAAATTTTAAATCATACAACATTAATTATTTTTGTCTTATATTGCATAACTTGTATGAAAATATTATATCACGCATTAATAAAAATACTTTTTGCATCACAAAAAAATTAAGACAATATGCACAGATAGTTTTGCGTAACGCATAACTTCAACGAAAATAAAATAAAGTACATTTTATCACAAAAGAATTAAAAAAACATAGCATACATAGTTATAGATTTATTGCCATAAATTTGTTTACGTACAGTGCTTTTTTTATGATAAATTCTTAATCTAAATACTACAAATCTTCTTATAATTTTTAAATATATGTCATGACAATTCAAAATATAACTAGCATAAACTTTTGCAAATTGTGTACTTAAAAATAATTTCCAATTAATGTTTTGAAAATCATTAAAAAATTTGCTATAACAGCGAAACATTTTTTTTAATGTTATAAACATCTCAAATGTGTTGATGTTAACAAAACATAAAAAATTTGTAATATAACATTTTAATTGTACATATTTTGTAAATGAAAAACATAATGGAATTGGCGATTTTATCGATTATATACATTTATTGCATGTAGTACATGTTTTAATAATAATATACAGATTTAGCAAACGACTAGCAAACGTTTTAGCACCGAAATATTTATGAAATTATGAGATAAAGGTTTCAAATGGCAGTTACACCTGTTACACTTGTCCAAATTTTATTTTCGATTTTTTACCCAAATAATTAATATGCAAACAAAATAAAAATAGATGCAAAAATTAACAAACGACTAGCAATCAAATGACGTATTCGAAACTGTTGAAATCGTTAGTTCGACAGCTGGCTTCACACCGGTGAACGCACCCTAACATTTGTTGGATGAACGACATTTGCAATATTAACCTTACCTCACTTTACCTGTTGCTTGTCGGCTGCTTGGCTCGTCGGCTGTCGGCTTTATATTGCAAAAATGTCATGTTGGATCCGTGGGTGTACTGCGAGAGGAGGAAAAAAAAATGCTTCTGAAAAGAGAAGTTTTTTTACACCTCGCACAGTAAGTATGTACAGCAGTATTGTTTTTAGTTGTAGAGATACGTATACAATGTATGTAATGCCGTTGTATTTTATTAAATAAAAATGTACATAATTTGATTGTTATGTATAGGAAAAAATGTTCAATAACTGGCTCCTCAGTGGCATTGCTGCAAGAGGCAGAAATGAGTTCACTAAAAATAGCAAAATCTGTCAACGACATTTCCACGAAGATGAAATAATAAGAGAAGATGTCTTCCAAATGGCAAATGATTCGACCGTAACGGTACCACGGAAGGTACCGCTGTTGAAAGAAAATGCTGTTCCGTCTATTTTTCCACCGGAAAAAATCAATTTTTATCATATAAATCCTATATACGAAGAAAAACGAAGGGAGCAACAGAATGAAGAGACGAGCGTTGCGGTTTCCTTACAAAGTGTTGTTAATTGTTCCACTTTTGTGAGTGATAAATCCATGTCACACAATTACGTTACACACAACGAACAAAGTTCTTCATCAAACGAAAGAAATAAAGACTTACTGACATGGACTGAGCTAATCACTGGTTTAAATAATTTTACTTTTCCACCGAGTTACTGGAGTCCCATCATTAAAGAAGAATCGATAATGTGGACTTGCTGGTCGGAAGATTTAAGTCACTGTATACGGCGTGTTGTACTGGAGAAAAACATGACGTTTCGTGTAAGTATCTATTCAATCACATTGTACACTCGCTCACTAAAAGATTGCGACACTTTTTTTTTATAGGTTTCTAATTTATATTTAATATACGTAATATATACTTTATAGATAATTAATATTTTGCAAATGCAAACCATACTGTACTATCTTTAGTCTAAAGGCAGTATAACACCAATCGTGGTCCGCATTTGCAAAATATTAATGCGTTTTGAAACCTATAAAAAAGAAAATGTCGCAACCTTTTAGTGAGCGAGTGTACAGAGAAGATTACTAAAATTATAAAATATTATGTGTCATTTCAAATCTATGTAAACATTGCAGATTTTCATTAGAGACAAAGAAATTGACTTTCCTGGTGGGAAAATGGAACATGTAAACATAGACAATATTCAGAATCTTCTTCAAGAAGTTTCGAATATGCATCCATGTAAGGAAGTCATCAGTGAAACTTGGTATGTATTTGTTTTTATTTGTAAAATTAGCACCAGAAATTGGCATCATCGTTATTTACAGTAATATTTTCAATTTTGATTAACGATTACTTAGATTAGATAATCATTACTCAACTTTGAAAAATTTTTAATTACATAATTAATAATTAAAATAGAAAATTTCTTGTTTATTTCTTGTTTTAATTTTATTTTAATTTTCTTTTTTCGAGCGATCTGACATTGATTGAAACATGTAATGAATGAAAATTCTACAAACGTAACATTGTTTATTTTACATCTTTTAGTGCCAAAGACTGTCTTGGATACGTTTTGACAGATGTCAGAGCACGTGGTGTGCAGCGTGCCAGATATCTTCCATGTGCCAAGCATTACAAAAACTGTGTGGGGAGAGTGAGACCGATATCAATGCGCAAATTATCGGAACAAAAAGAATCTTACGTATGTGATATAAAAACAGAAAAATATTAGACTGAAGAAGATAAACATTGTAAAATATCCGTTACTGAATATATTCTGCACATTGTCAGCAAACATTATGCTTAGTATTCGGCAGTCATTTATTATAATTATAATAAACCGATAAATCAATCTTCTGATTGGAGTAGCTAATAAGGGCGGGTTCTAATCCATGGGGCTCCGAGGGGGGGGGGTGAGGGGCAGGGGAGTCCGCGGGGAAGAGGGAATCGCCGCCGCAACAACGCTCGCGGGCCCAGCGTCCCACCCCGCGCTTATCGCATTCCGTCCCTCCCATTGCGCACGGGCCCTACCGTCCCACCCCGCGCTTATCGCTGCCGCTCGCGGTCCCACCTGTTATCGCACGTACGCGAAGAGGAAGAGGAGAATAAAGAAAATATTATTTTAGGATAAAAAATACTAAAATTACTAATTTAAACTTAAAATATGTTCATTTTAAAATTTAGATAGTAAATGTGATGTGATAATGTATGATATAATATAATATGCGAAAAACTATTAAATATATCCGGCGCAGGAATCTGTTGCCATCTGCAACAGACAAAAGGGGAGAGTATTTTTAAAAAATATGCACAAAGAAGAAAGGAGGATAGCTATTTAAAAAATACTTACCCTAGTTGTCGTAAGCAACTGTTCTCTCTCGCGAGCTCGCCTCCTCCCGCGAGCTCTCTTGCGGGCTCCTCGCGCCGCTGTCCCCCGGCGCCTCCTCGCGCGGAGACGTCCTCGCGCCGTCGTCCCAAGACACCTCCATCTGTGGGTTCACCGTCACCCACGGAGGCATCCTCATCCTCGCTTCGTTGTCGTCGTCGTCATCATCTTCGTCGTTAGAGCTACTCAGAAGGTAGCGCTGAAAGAAAAAAACATTGTCTTTATCCGATAGTAAAAATATTGTCTATATCCAACAGTAACTGCTTTGTATTTACCAGGAATTGTCGACGCTCCTCAGCCTCCACCCTCTGACGTAGGCCTACCATCCCTGCATCATCCCTCTCGTCTCTGTCTATCATGAAATACTTCCAAATTATATCGGTTACACAATTTGATTTTGCAGTATGATGTACAAAACAAAACGATAAATATTCGTCGAAATTGTTGTGGTCTTTTAATAATGTTTTGTCGCCAATTTCACGAGAACTTATTAGTTTCTCCAACGGTGGCAAGCAAGGAGCAGGGTTCTGTCTGAATGGATGGAACATGATAGACTGACACTAAAACTAAGCATACCGCCCGAGATTTTCGTATCCGACAAAGATAAAAATCAAATGCGCTAGGTTTCAGATATAATATATATTACTTCTACATCTCAATGTGCAAGCATTTATATAGATAGGTACATGTTATACTTATCACTACATCTCCATGTCGCGATAATGTTGTGAGGACAAAGCATCTATAAGATACTTATCACAACATATTAACATTGTCACATCTTCATACAACGGTAAATGATAACACATATGTATAACTAGACGCGGGATCGCGAAAGGAGGTTCCGGCGCGGGCCCCGCCCTTACGAAAAAGACCGACTGTCAGGTGTGTAGTTATTACTGGAGGTATTATTGCCCGTGTAGTAGTTACTGCTGATGAATCACATGATAAATATTACACACTTGTGGTTATTACTGGAGGTATTACTGTTCCCCAAGGAGAACAGAAAGATCAAAATGACATCAAAATGATATCAAAATAAGATCAAATTTTAGTTTGTCAAAATGATGTCAAATTGCATAAATTTTTGATGTATTCTTGACCATTCCAATTTAATTGCTAAAATAAATTTGT